ATTCTTCAGGTACAATTAAATGCTTATACCATTCATACCCCAGTTTTGACGACAGGAAACTTGATATATCATGAGAGTTGCACCTCTAGCTCTAGGTCCTAGTGTTTTTGCTTCATTCTTCAGCACCCCAATTAGACATGGCAAGGTGCAGCACAGTGTTCATCAACTGAGCTATCACTAATAGTGCTTAACTTTCAAAAACTTTGAAATGAGAAATCAGATATTTGAAATATTAGACATCAACAATTTTTTAAAACTAACATTAGCTTTAAAGTATTTTAAACCATAAAAAAACAGCTATAGATATCAAATTTCTGACTCTGAGAACGCAACTGAAAGCAATTACAAAGTCTAAGAGACAACTCACATCATCCGTGTATGCAATCAAGACACTTCTTAATGCTCTTAGTGCAGAAAGCTTCGAACTTGTAAGCAACACCATTGAGTTTGCAGCCTTCATGTTATTCAACACGTTTAAGATCAAACAAGTATGCATCTTTTCCGGTTATAAAAAGTTCAGCATCAACTTTATGTTGGTAAATCTGAAAAACATTTGATTCTATAAGGAGCTGAGAGAGTTCTTTGAATGGTCCAGCACTGACTTCACTGCCTTCAAGCTCTCCTTCTAGATGATAACAAAGATCACTGAGTATCAAATAGTTTGGCACCTTCCCTGCACTGGAAAAAGATAATATATTCTTCATATGCAGCCAAATGCATAATATGTGTCATTTATTGCTTCCATTTCAACATACTCTTATGAGAATAAAGATACACATGTTATTAAAAGAGTATTATGTGAAACAGAACATACGACAGATCAGAACCCTATGCAAATTGAATCCACACAAACTTTGGCAACAAAAAGAAATAAAGTAGGAAATTTTGGCACAAATTAAAGAATTGTATTATAATCTTTTGGTGTAAAAAATGTGGTACATACAAAATGAATACGGAGCAGCCAGCTAGTCACTTGACTGTTCACCAACTCCAAAAAATCAGAATTTACAAAACTAACTACATGTGTACATAAGTGGGAAGGATAGGACTATGAATGAGACGAGCACCATAGACATGAGGTGCTGCAACAGGAAAGCAAGGGCGACGGAGGATCACAGGAGCGGGCTGCCAATATCGCACGATTGTTGGGCTAATTCCATACAAGCAGCCTTGAGACATCCCTGCCACAGACCTAAATGTTGCGTTCATCTTGGAGAACACAGCAGCAGTCAACAAACTATCCGAACCAGCTTGATGAGCTTCACCAGAGCGCTCCACATCAAGAAGCTTGGCCACCCTTGCCAATCCAATTTCACCGCCAAAGAATCCTTTGCAATAGCGAGCCATAAACTTGATGTCATAAATGATGCCAAAAACTACACCAAGAGCCTTAGCAAACATCACCACTGAATTGGGCAGAGGCTTTTGGGTCAAGAGCTTGAGCAAATAGGCCAGGTCATAAAGACCATGAAAGCAGACCCATGTCAAATCATGCAACCCTCTGTGGATTCTAAGGACACGCAGAAACCCGAACACAAACTCCGCAACAGAAATCCCAAATTGCCCAAGTCTCGCAAAATCTAGACCATTCCTTTTGAGTAAAGAAATGGAAGCGACAACATGAGGGTCAGATTTCTCAGAAGAGAAGGTGTTTATAGGATTTCATTCCTAAAGCTATCAGGATATCATTCCTAAAGCTATTAGGATTTCATTCCTAAAGTTATTAGGAAACCCGACTCCGCTTTAACGCGGTTTAACTTACCGTTGCAAATGCTAACCCTAAGCTGGTTTCAAAAGAAGCATTAATTTACTAAAATACCCCTAATGTGAATTTTACCTAGAAAATAAAATTAAGAAAAAGAATAACCTGTAATTAATTTGGTTGTCGCAGGTTTCTGTCGCTAGGAACGAAGTCAGCCAGCGTGAGCTCGTCTCCTCCATCATCTTCTTCTTCTACTTCACCCTCCCACCATTTTTTTTTCTCTCTCTCTCTCTCTCTCTCTCTCTCTGTGTTTTCTTGGACAAAACGACCTCACTTTAACAAGCAAATGACTTTTCCTTTCCAATTCTATGGGCCTTCTTTATTGTTGGGGTCCAATTCTATCGGGAACAAATCTATCAGAGAATTTAATTTTATAGTACATTTCGTTAGTATTATTGTTTAATTTTATGGTATATTTCGTTAGTATTATTAGCTTTTTATAATCAAATTTTCAATATTCTATAGTTTATTATTCTTTTGTTAACTTATTGTGACAAAATAGCCTAAATTTAACATTTAATTGATTCATTATTTATTGGTTTATTATTTTCTTAAGTTTCACTGATTTTTATTTATTTCTAGTGTGTTGTGTCACAAATGGTAACTCCAATTTGTATCACAAATGGGCGGGTAGAGCTCCATTTAAATCTCCAATTTATAAAAAAAGAGAGGGTATTCCGAGCTCTAAAATCAAAAGGACAAAAAAAAACATTTAAATATTAAATGATATGCAAGTGGGGACAATTTTTGCTGTATTAAAAAAAGGTAATACTAAATGTAAATTTTAAGGGCTAACGACAAAAGGTACCCTGCTGGTTTAGGGTCATTCTCAAATTGAGCCACAAAGTATCAATTTTATCAATTTACGCCCTTACATTTTCAACTTTGTCCAATTGCATCCTTCCATTAAGTTGATCAGACGGTCAATCGTTAAATGCTGACGTGGCACCCGTGGGACCCACCCCACCAGAGGATTGACCATTCTGCACATGCCAGTTGAAGGGTAGTTTTGGGTTTTGACAATTCCAAAAAAAAAAAAAATTGAAAATCGCGCCCAAATTGGGCACGCGTTGCAAAGTTGAAGATCGAAGAAAAAGCCCCAAAGACGTCATTCGTCATCAACCTCAGTTTAACCTAAATCCTAAATCTTCATAGGAACAAAGGCAACTCCATCATCTTCTTCATCTACTTCATCCCTCCTCCCACCATTCTCTCTCTCTCTCTCTCTCTCTCTCTCTCTCTGTCTCTGTTTTCTTGGACAAAACGACTTCACTTTGACAAGCAAATTACTTGTCGTTTCCAATTCTATGGGCCTTCTTTTTTGTTGGGGTCCAATTCTATGGGCTTTTTTTGGGGCATTATTTCCAACAATTTTTTAAAAATAATTTTCGTTCATTATTTTTAATTTATCGGGAACAAATCAATCGGAGAATTTAATTTTATAGCCATATTGAAACACGAGTTTAAAATCAAGTTTTCAATATTCAATAGGTTATTATTCTTTTGTTAATGTACGGTGACAAAATAGACTAAATTTAACATTTAATTGATTCATTATTTATTGGTTTATTATTTTCTTAAGTTGTATTACAAATGCTACCTGAGCTTCCATTAAATTGCTTAGGTAGCGTGCCACGTGGATTAAAAAAAGAATATATATATTAGAATTTTAAAAATTGAAAAACTCATCTCTAAAAACAGTATAAAAAAAAGAAAAATTAGGTATTAGACATAACAATCTTTACTATAATTAGGATTTGAGAAATAGAGTATTTCTGTTTGGTTTAGATATGCCCAAAGAGGAGGCCCAAATTCGTTGGGCTTGTCTAAATTATAAAGGTAAAATAATTTTTTTTTATTTTAAAAAAAAACCATTGACTGTTAATATAAATATTGCCAAACTGACAAAATATCACAAAAACAAGGTTGGTATAGTTTGGAATAAGGCTACCCTCCTTTGAGGGTTAAGGTTCTAGTCTCTTCAAGCACACTAAATTTCCTCTCTTTTTTTTTGGTTGAGGGCAACATAGTCGGTGATCAAAGATGGTTGGCCGACAATGGGCGACAGGCAATTGCAGCTAGCCAAAAGGGGATTGCCGGAGGTGGACATGTGGCATAGTGTGCTTGATTTAGGAGTGACATTTAGTGCAATTTTGATGTTTTTTTAATTACATTATTGTAAAATTAGGTACTACTTTTTGGTCTTTGGTCTTATGCTAATTAGGTGAAATTGTATTCCTATTTTCCAAATTAATAAACTATATAGTGTCTTAAAATGAAAGCTCCCTAAAAAAAATTAGGTGTGGAATTTGGGTGCATAAAAGTTCAAACTAAGAGCATTTCCACCTATTTGCCATGACAAAGGGTAAGAAGAGGTAAGGGCTGTTACTATTCACGTGAATAGTCCCAGCCCTTGCAAAAGGCAAGTTGGGTTTCCACTAGGCCTGTAAATAAAGCCCGGGCCCGATGGGCTGGCCCGAACCCGGCCCTATTTTTTAATGCATGGGCTTACCCGGCCCGAAGTAATGGGCGGGCTTGGCCCGGCCCGAAGTCTAATGAGTAGGGCTTGGGCTTCATTTTTAAGCCCTTTAAAAGCCCGGCCCGGCCCGATTATAATTATTTTATTTAATTAATATAGTTATATTATATATAATATTAATAGTTTGAAAAGGCCCGTTACTTTGTCTCTTATCTCCCCAACACCTTCATTTTTTAAGAGCATGCTTTGTCTCATATCTCATCTCTCCCGAGTCCCAACACCTTCATTTTTTATTTTTTTTCCCATCTTCTTCTTCCTTCCGTTACTTTCCATCTCTCCCTCTCTCTTTTATTTCTTTTTTCCTTATTCTTCTCTCCCTCTCTCTTT